CTACACACCAGGTACTTTTAGGAGCTGATTTACCATGTCTCTTTCAGTCTTCACAGTAACTGATAGAAGCAACATGGGACAAGTTTTAAAAGGTAGAAAAGAAGCAATTTATTAATTCTGCTCATATTATGTAATGGGTGAGGTTCCTGCGAAAGAGAAGATCGTGGTTGAGTCCCACTCTCCCTTGTGTCCTCCCTTCCCCCAGCCAAGAGCACAGACCTTGTTCCTACACCTCTATCAGGTGGCCAGCTATCTTCGACTTCATGCGTCCTGAGCTTGAGGGTTCAAAGGTAACCCGGGCAGATCCTCAGTATGTTCCTGGCTGCCCATCTCTGCCTCTCTTCTCTATTATGCTCCTAGGAGGGCCTAGGCCCAGTGACTCACCACTGCTGTCTCCCTTGCCACCCCTTTCACCCAGGTACCTGCCTATTAGGAAGTCTGAGTTTTGTTTCTTCTGGGTGTATAAGACCTAACATATACACACTTTCCTGTTGTCTGTCTTGTCAGTCCATCATTGGAACCACACACCCCAGCATTGTGGACTGTGTGCTGAAGGTGCTAGGCACGATGCACCTGGAAGTCCAGTATGAAGGTAAGGAAGACTCCTCTGGGTGGCCCAAGGTGGGCATGAGAGCTAGGTAAAGTACCTCTGGAACAATATCTCTTAGTCACAAAGAGCCTTGTTGCTGAGCATCCTGGATAGCCTTGACAGATGGAAGACCCTGGTTGAGTACCAATCAGCAAGTTACCTAGAAAATGATAGTCATACTCCATGCTTCAAATCAGCCATATGGTGCCTTAATGTGCCTGGGTCCAGAGTTGGCCTTTGTTCCCAGTCTCATGTGGCATTTCCCCTCTGAACAGAAGTTTCCCTGGACTGGAGGTATAGAGCCTCCATCCCCTGCAGCACAAAAAGAAAAAAAGAAATCACCTGGGGAATGTCCTTCTTCTAAGAAACTACATTGACTAATGATGGTATTAATAAGTTTTCATGTATTGAATGCCTCTATGTTCCAGCCACTTTCCATATATCATTTCATTGAATTCTTAAAATAACCATAAAAGAATACAAAGCCTGATATGAAACAGTTTTTCAAATGTTTGAATCAATCAATGATTGTATGTTTTCCAAAATAACACATACAAGCACAGAGAGGTAAAGTATGCGTCCCAAGATTACACAGATCTGGATTCAGACTAGATCCATCTGACCCTAAAGCTTATGCTTTTGAAACAGAATTCATGCAAGGCATTCAAAGAATCTCATTTCCTTTCCTTTTCCTGTCATGGTTCAGAGAAGGGATTCTGTTTTTAACAAGAAGGGTCAAGGAAGAGTTCACTGAGAAGGTGGTGTTTAGACTAAGCCTTGAAGATCGGAAAGGATTTTGGAAGGTAGAAAGGAGCAGAGCAGGGCATTCTGGGAAGGGGAATGGTAGAAATAAAGGCATAAAAACAGGGAAGTGCAAGATGTGGTTGGAGAATGACATCCCACTTGGAGTATTTTTTTTAGAGGCAGTGTTGAAATTGAATGTCAGTCATTTTCCTTTCAGTCGTGTTATCCGTTTTGTGTGTGTTTGACCACTGCAGCTATGTATGGGTGTAGGCCTTGTATGCTGAGAAATAATGCTGTGTCAAAATTCACTGATAACCAACTGGAGCAGAGCATCCTAGAAGCTGCCAGTGAGGGGGTAGAGTGGTAGAGGGACCTAAGTAAAGGTCAGAGCCAGCAGGAGGCAGAGTTGCTGGCACTAAAGCCCAAGGGTGACCTGGCAGTGGAAT